CATCAGCTGCCAAAGTTCAGTTCCAATACTCAAGACCACAAGAACGGAGAACGCGTGAAACTTAAGGATGTGTTCTTGATATCGAGGACGCACTGATGCAGACTTGAGCATTGAACTTGCTCTAGAAGTCCCAGAAGTCATTTCGACTGGAGGTGGGAAACGCTGCATTTTATTTAGATTTATTATTAGAGTTCAGAGATTTAACTTATTTACCTCAGGAGTTTCCCTAAATGTAACGGTGAAAGTAAACATCCCCATGGACAACTTAATAAAGGAATAAACACATTAAGACACAACACATAATTGTTTGCTAAAATTCGTATAAAAATCTGTTTTATTTGTAATGTGCAACGTATATTTATAATGTTTTTATGCAGAGTATATATTTTGAAAAGTGGAAAACAATAAATGGTTGTATGAATGCTGTAATGTTTAAATAATATTCTATTAAAAACGTTAAGGTCGTGTGACCATCAGGAAGAACGCAGCATTTCTCACAGGACGCGTTCTCTGTCCTCGTGGTCTCCCGAGTTTATTCTTCCGAGGATACCTGGAAAGACCGGTCTCCACAAGAACGCAAGTCCGTTCTCTGTGTTCTTGAAATTGAGAAACAGCCTCGGAGTGGATCAGCTGTTTAATAGCAAGAATCTCGTTGTAAAATCTAACACTACACATCTTCGCCAAAGATGCTCGACTTTTCTAAGTTTAAACTGAAACTGTGGCTCATGACAAAGAATGGTATTGAGCTGGTGATCATGGTGAGATTTTTTTTTTCTGCCAAGCTCATATATTAGTTCGGTTAACTCGCCTGATTTTTTTCCACAAACACAAAAATGTAAATCAGCGCATAACTAGACTGAGCATTTACGATGACACAAACCGAAAGCAAAATTTTTTAATGAGTGGTAGAAGCGAGACTTTTCTTCCTTTCTTTTGTCCGTTATTTCTGATTATTAAATTGGCATGCAGATAAAACAATAGAGCAAAATGTAAATTTCTTACTGCAGTGCTTCATTTCTGTTTGATGCAAACCATGCATTTATTTTTTATAAAGTGACAGTAGGACTTTTTATACCTCATAACTCACATTCCAGCACATTCAGGACAGCATTTCATTGTTAGTATTATTATCATCATCGTAATCCTTAATATTTTATAAGTCCCAGACATACATTTTGGAATTATTGCACAAACATCCATAAGTCATTACAGAATTAGTTAGATAGTTGTTTCTGGTTTAGGTTAGTCCTAATGGATGTTGTTTTCAAATACAATGATTCTGTTAATATACAATTTGCAGTGATGCTCATTCATTTTTGGTGGGTGCTCCTACATTTTTAAAGTTGGGAGCACTGGTGCTGCCGAGTAAAATGGTTCATTTCAAGCCCTGCATTAGACAAGTACTATTTTTAATTTATTCTTATTTTTATGTATTTATTCATTGTTCTGTCATTTATTTTCAGTGTAAAATTATTTGTTTAAATGTCAAAACTTTCACTTGTTTTTAAGCACAAAGAGAGAAATTGACCATTGTTTGTTTATTATTATTTTGTGCTGTATTATTTGGTTACTGACGAGCAGTAAATAGCACTGTAAAATATAAGTTTTCTGGAAATTAGTAAATGCTTTATAATCATGATAATCCTAAACCTGTGATTATTTCTTAGACTATAATCGTACAACCAAAATCTATAATCGGTCCATCCCTACTTTAAACGCACCATAAGTCTTATGAAAATTGTCCATAAATTAGAATATCATCCAATTTTCAGTAATTCAATTCAAAAAGGGAAAGTTTAATATTAAACAGCTCCATTTCACTAATATATTAACTAATCAAATCACTTTTATTTTCACGTGTGCTATGATGAGTGAAAAGCTTAGATGTTGTAATGTATTTTTCAAATATTATACATTTTAGTTATATATTTAACTATATTAATTTGAATGATTTTAGCTAACAGCTAATGAAAATCCATGTGTAATGCAGCCCAGGTTACTCTGAAAAATGTCCATAAGCTCTTCTGCGGTGTTGGGTCTGGTGTATCACATCTTCCTCTTCACAAAACCCCACAGGTTCTCTATAGGTCAGATCTGAAAATTGTTGATGCACTTGGCTTAAAATTGAAATAAAAATTGTTTTGTAATAATTATTGATCTAGTAATTAAATAATATTGTAAGACTTTTAACTTGAATTCAACATAACTTCATTCATTCATTCATTCATTCATTTTCTTGTCGGCTCAGTCCCTTTATTAATCTGGAGTCGCCACTGCGGAATGAACCACCAACTTGTATGCCCTTCCAGCCACAACCCATCTCTGGGAAACATCCATACACACTCATTCATACACACACTCATACACTACGAACAATTTAGCCTACCCTATTCACCTGTACCGCATGTCTTTGGACTGTGGGGGAAACCGGAGCACCCGGAGGAAACCCACGCGAACACAGGGCGAACATGCAAACTCCACACAAAAGCGCCAACTGAGCTGATCCAAGCCGCGGTTCGAACCAGCGACCTTCTTGCTGTAAGGCGACAGCACTACCTACTTCGCCACTGCGTCGCCTCAACATAACTTATACTGAATAAACACACACACACACACACAACCCAGTAAAATAACTACATTTTATTGACAGAAAAACTGTATTGTTGTGAATGAGTCAAGAGGCATAACTTTATCAGTGTTGTACAGAAGCACTATTGCAAGCAGCAGTAACTCATACTATACTAAATAGAAACATCCAGTTGGCATGTAATTTGAGCTGACTACACTTTTCAAGTGAGCATGTGCAGTTCATGCATATATAAGTATTCATGTACATGAGCAGAATATCCATAAGGACTATTGAGCTATTTAGAGTTGTGATGGCACACAGAGTCAAGTCAACAGTGTGCTCTATTGCTTTTATTGCTTTGATTGGTGCAGCAACAAACTTCCCATGTGTGGTACAAGACATTGAAACAAATGGGTTTCACAGTGCAAAGCTTTCCACATCCAGTCTGGAGGCTGTTTCACACCACACAGTGACTACAGCTGCAGATAAAGTAAAACCACTGCACTGGATGTTTTGGACTGAAAACTAAAAATGCAATTTTTTGACTTAAATTATAGGTGGCCAAAAATTCTGTGAATTTCTAAAACAAACTGACAAACATTTTTCTATTTTTTCTATCAGTTTCTTTGTTAACCCTAAATGATGCAGTGTTTGTGATTTTAAACATAAATTTAAATAATTATTTTCAGAAAGTTTTTTTGCTTTTGTAAATTTGACTATGTATAATTAACGGTTATTTTTGTTTTGGTATCTGACATAAGTGTCATACTTTAAAAGATCATTTAAAGATCTTTGATAATAAGCCACTGAAAGAAAATATGGTATCCAGAGAGAAAATTGTGTCAAGACCTAATTCTTTGATATGCATTAATTGCGTCAGTAGCTCCTTGTGGATGAATAGAGAATGGAAAATAAAGTCTTCTGCAAGAAAAAATATAAGTTTTTCAGTCAGGCTTATATTGCTTCCTCTCATTTCAGCCCTTTTCAGCTTCACCACAGCATCTTGAATGTTTTTCTGGAGCATGTGTACTACCATATACTTCGCCTGGAACTGTGTGATCAAAGCACTACCTTCTGTTCTTGACTCTTTGCTAGATAATAAAATTTTTTTCAAAACATCTCCCAGATATGACTGATAAGAATCTATTTCCTTGTCAGCCTTTTCTAGATCAGCCAGTGCTTGAGTAATATAACCAGTGTTCTTCTTCATAATAGTGGCCAGTGCACGATTATAGAGAGGAATAATTGACCCAGATGAACCATCCTCCAGAGCTTTGGTGTACATCTCAATGCTCTCTGCAAGGTGTCCCTTTTCACGAAGACTGTTTCCAGACCTGATGTAATAGTAGACCATTGAGGATGGAGACTGTTTACTAAAAAGTTTCTGCTTTGCACTTGACAAGTCCACTTTCAGCTTTTCCTTCAGCATCTCTGTGGGCTTTTCCTCACTGGAATTAATCAGGAGCCACAAACCCCAACACTCATGAAGAGAGGAAACAATCACATCACGCTGTTCAGGGAAAACATCATCTTCATAAATTTGGTCCAAAATATCAAGGTAGATGGAAAAAAGCTCTTCCTCTTTACAGATTTTTGCAACATCTTTTTCAAGAAATCTTGAAAGTCTGATTATTACCAGAAGATTTCTGGTATCTTTTACCTCCACTAGATTGGAGCCAATAAATGGGGCAGATTCCATTTTTAAGAAGCCTGTGAGAGCCAAAATCATCGCCTGATGGGTTTGAGAGCTGCGTTTGTTCAAGTAACAATAGACCGTTTCCTCAAATAGACTCTGTGTGGACAATGTGTTTTTAAGACATGACATTAGTGTCATTTTGAGGTGTTTTACATGGCTGAGTAAACCTGGTAGAGGTGTCTTCAGGTCCATAACTAGTTTGACTGATTCAGAGAAATGGCTGGCACACATGATGAGTTGAGCAGATCCTGGACTTCCTTGTCGAGCCGTTCGTCCAAACGCTTGCTGTTCAACACGGATGTTCAGAGGTAAGAAGGTTTGCAGCACAAACAGACCTCCTGCTTCATTTACACTTTCACTGACCTTTAGGTCTGTACCTCGACCTGCTAGATTAGTTGCAATGATCACATCACCACCTTGAACAGTTTGATCTATCACTGTGGAGTTATTCATGTTGTTATTCACGTAGAGTTTCAGTTTGTCTTTTGAAATGGTTTCTGCGAGGGTCATGTGAAACTTTTCAGCACGATTGATTGTTTCACAGATGATGAGAGCTGCTCGTGGACCTCGATACACTGTAGGAAACACTTGATGTTTAACAGCATCACAGACGGTCCTGATCCACTCGTCCTCTTCAGGAATCACCAGGCCTTCCAGCTCGTAAAGTTTCCTCCTTCTGAATGAGGGAATGTTGCAGGTCTTCATGCCATTGTAGAGTTTTTTCAGCATGTCAAGCTCTGTTTGATCACCTAAAGTTCCCGTTATCCCATAGATCTGGTCATTGTATTTCTTGAATAAGCCAACATTGGACATGAAGTTTGTTATAAGACTCATATTGGAGAGTTTGGTTTGGTGTTTCATCTCCAGGAACTGCTGAAGTCCTTCACCCCATCTCATGTTGTTCTGGACAACACCAGTGCATTTATAATCCACAGGAACAACTCCGTCTTCATGAAGAATATATTCATGGCCCAGAGTCATTTTAGTGGCCTGCAGAGCATTTTCAATCCAGATTTGTGCTTTGCCATTGATGAGGTCTTCCATACCTGGGATACAAGGTTTGTTTTGTTTTTTTGATTCAGAGAGCAAACATTTGTTTAATATTAAAGTCAGTGACTGAACAAGAGAGTCCTCTTTATAATATACTGAACGGCATTTTCCATTTCCCAAGAGAAGTACAGAAATTTCTTGTCTTCTGATTGTTACTGTGGGGCTGATTTCTTTCAGTTTTTTTAAAGTCCCATCTGGCTCTTCCTGGTAAAGTTTAAACAAATAATCTGGAAAGTTTGTTGCAAATATAGTTAAAAATGCTTCTGTTTGAGCAACACTTGCTTCATCTAGTTTTGCTGTGTCTGCTGCATTTTTCATTATACTAGCTTTATCAGTGTCTTCTTTTATGATCTCAGACAGTACCTGATGGAAACTCTGGATAGGACCTAAAATCTCTCCAGTGTCTAAAAACTTCACTTGGTTGATGATTAGCCAGATTTCAGCCAGAATCCCATTCAGAGACTCCATGAGAGGCATATCAGTGTTTAAGTAGACCACTTCAAGACCTTTGTCCAGCATTAGCGAGTCCACCTCGTCCACTATCACACACTGAAAGTCTCTCTTAGGTCTCACTTCTCTCCTGTGGAAACGCTGCCGCAGAAAATCACCTGCAAAGCTATCAGATGTACCGTAGACCACCTGACATTCATAGCACTCTTTCAGCTCTTTGTCTTTTGATTTGTTGGTGTTTACATCAGCAGTGATGTTCAGTTCTTTATAGAAGCGAAGCCATTCTCTACAGTCTCTTTCGGCAAGTACTGGAGAACTGGAGATGATGTCTGGGGTTTTTCGCATCATGACCTGATATGCTGCAAACATGGCCACAATACACGACTTTCCTTCTCCTGTTCCAACCTGAACCAGCCGACTGGATTCAGAAAGCACCAGAATGCACCAGCTCACCATCTGAGTCAGTCGAGGTGTGAGTTTCATTGTCTTTTCTACAGCTTTGCAGAGTTGAAACAGCCGTTGCTTTATTCCTTGTAGATGTGATGCTGAAGAAGCTGATAGACATTTGGACACAGAGCTCACAATGTCTTTCACTTCTGCCAGAGTTTGTTCATCTATAACTGCTTGCTCTTCAATTTCCTTTAGAATCTCATCCAGTGTTTTCTCCTCAGTGTTTCTGGTTATTTTGTTAATTTTGTCCTCAACATCATCCACAATCTCACCATTCATAGTCAAATCTGATACGCTTATTTTGTGAATCTCCACTTGATGAAGGGTTTTCATCATCCATGTGTGAAAATCTTCATTCCTGCCATTAAACTGCTCCACCAGGGCTTTAAACAACTTCACAACATCATCTTTATCCCATTGTCCATTCTTGAGCAGGGAAAGCAGTCGTGCTGACAGCAGTTTTCCTGATGACTCCATTTCAAAACTGTCAGTTCTTGTGAAGTCTTGATTTTCCAAGTGAAGGTTGTGTCTCTATTATTCAAAAAAATAAATCCACACAGATAATTTTGCCCTACTAACTTAACTAAACATACACATTTTCTCAAAAGAATTCAGGTCTCTTCCACCTTATAGAGAATGTATTTACAGTACTTACATTTGGGTCATTCAGGACAGTCACTGCAAAACTCTTCTTGAGTTGTTCACTGGAGGGAGTTGTATCTATACCTGAATAAGAAGAGAGGTCTCCTTTAATTCTTTAGAATTTCTGTCACTTTCATTTAGTCTCCTGTCTAAATGGAACATACCATGCACTTTTAATTCTCAATATACTTATATTAGTAATGTCAATATTTAGTTTTTTGCATTCTTCGTATGATTGTACATTTCTGAAGGTTTTTCTTTTGCATCTCCACAGTTCTCAATTCTTTCAGAAGTATTGGTAAGTACTGAAGACAAACTTGTGTTGGTACAGCTTGATTAATTGTTGTAGGTTTCTTTGCCAATAAAAGCTAATGAATTGGCAGCGTAAGCTTGCGCAGGTGTGCTTCATTGCCAATTAACCCAGCATATAAGCACACGTGGAGCAAGCAGACGCCATCTTTTTCACTTCAGAGACTTTCTGATCGAGTCGATGAGGGTTCCTCTTGCTGCTACAGCGACTTCCGAGCGAACGAGTGTCTCCCGGTCCAGAGTAGGTATACGCGGCGGCAGACGGTCGAGCTGGGATTCTCCCTTGCCTGTCGTATTTGGGTCCGGTACTCCAGAGCGGTGCGTACAGTTGCATTTTTTCTAAAAGAAAAAACGTCCTTTTCAGGATGGCGCTCCGACTGCGTTTTCTGGTTGCGGGGGTTTCCTGGCTCCGGATGATGGGCACAATCACTGCATTACATGTTTGGGGGTCCAGCATGTTAATGAGGTGCTCGCGGGCGGTTCATGTCGTCACTGCGATGCCATGACCGGTGCGCAGTTGAGATCGCAGCTAGCTTTCGTAAGAGAGTGAACCACCCCAGTTGCCTCCTGCTCTGCAGCGGGCTCTCGGGCAGATCTGACGGTCTCAGCGGGAGATAATCCGCCACCTAAGGGCTCGCAGACCTCCCGCTCCTCCAAGCGCTCCGTTCAAGCTTCGGGCACTGGGAGTGATCCGTCTAATCAGATGGTAGCTCTCACGCTCGCTGACACCGGAGACCAGATTTCCTCTGCAGCATCGGAGGGTGGGCTTTTACTGTCCGACAGGGATCCAGACCCGTCAAGACGGATCCTGAAGCGGACATGTTAGACGTGCTTCACCGGGCTGCTTTCGGCCATGGGGTTGGAGATGGTTCATCCCCCAGCTCCGCGGCCGGACCGATTAGATGGGTGTTACGTAGAGGACCAGAAGGCCAAGCCTTCGAAGCCTCTCGTCCCCTTCTTCCCAGAGGTGCATAGTAGGCTCACGCAGTCTTGGAGGGCACCTTTCTCTGTCCGCGCTGCTTGTCCCTCCGCCCTTACCACCCTTGACGGTGGAGCTGCCAGGGGGTATAAGGTGATTCTGTCAGTGGAGGCGCCTCTACTTGGCAGGGTCTGCCCAGTCTCCCGTCCAAAGCCTGTAGGTTATCTGACTCCCTCGGAGCCAGAGCTTACAAGACTGTGGGCCAGGCTGCTTCCGCCTTGCATGCGATGGCCACCTACCAGCGCTACCAAGCGCAGGCGCTGGCCGACTTGCACGAGGGTGGGTCTAACCCAGGCTTGTTACACGAGTTGTGCACCGCGACCGACTATACTCTCCGGACTACTAAGTCCGCCGCGTATGCGCTGGGGAAGATGATGTCCACACTAGTGGTCCAGGAACGCCACCTCTGGCTAAACCTGGCTGATATGCGCGATGTCGACAAAGTTCGCTTTCTTGACTCGCCCATATCTCAGGCTGGCCTGTTCGGCGACACCGTCGGTGAGTTCACCCAGGAATTCACGGCGGATGCGATGGGTAATGTCATCTATCGGCGGGACCGTAAGCCCGCTCCGCCCACCGAGCCATCCACCTCCGCTGCTCCTCGCCGAGGGCGCCCGCCAACGAGTGCTGCCCCGCCCCCGCCTTGTGCCTCCGGCGAACCGGGCGCATCGAGCACGTCGAAAGCCAGCAGCCGCCCCTGCCCAAAGCGCCGTTAAGTCCGGTAAACGGACCGCGAAGCGTCCCTGAGACAGGCCATCCGGAGAAAAGGAAACTTGCTCTTTCCCTGCTGGAGGGCGGGGCCCCTATTCCAACGGTACTTTTCAGTGCCACCAAAATTTCAATGAAAAAGCACTTTTCCCCTTCCCCGAATGTGACAGCACGAACCCTGCCAGTCTGGGACGCGCTGCTTCCCAGCTCGCAGGGTCCACATGCTCCACCAGTGCCTCGCGAGCGCTGGGGGGACGGTCTACTTTCCCTTAACCCTCGAGCCCCCTTTCCGGAGTCAGGGTGCGGAGCCAGAGCGAATCGCTCTCCTCCAGCTCTTCCGCAGGACCCTCGCGCTCCCCGGATCAGCACACCAGCACCGCGCTGCCCCACCGCTGGTACGTCAGTGATTGTAGCGATGATTCCATTTATCGTACCCAAAAAGAGTGGTGGGTCACGACCAATCCTAGATCTGCGCGTTTTGAACCACTGTCTGCACAAGCTGCCGTTCAAAATGCTTACGCAGAGGCGCATCCTCTGATGCGTTCGTCCTCTGGATTGTTGTGCAGCGATAGACCTGATAGACGCGTATTTTCATGTCTCCATTCTTCCACGCCACCGCCAGTTTCTGCTTTTTGCGTTCGAAGGTCGAGCGTGGCAATACAAGGTCCTCCCCTTCGGGCTCTCTCTGTCTCAACAGGTCTTCACCAAACTCGCGGAGGGTGCCTTAGCGCCCCTTCAGCTCGCGGGCATCTGCATACTCCATTATCTCGACGACTGGCTGATTTTAGCCCACTCGCGGGAGCAATGGATTATGCACAGACACAAGGTGCTCCGGCACCTCCGCCTGTTGGGGTTGCAGGTCAACTGAGAAAAGAGCAAACTCGCCCATGTGTAGAGGATATCTTTTCTCTGGATGGAGCTGGACTCGGTCACCATGGTAGCACGCCTCTCCAGAGTTGTTGAACTGTCTGAGAGAGCTCGACAGCAAAATAGTGGTCCCACTGAAATACTTTCAGAGGCTCCTGGGGCATATGGCATCGGCAGCCGCCGTCGCCGCTCGGATTACTCCATATGAGACCACTTCAGCACTGGCTTCGCGATCGAGTCCCAAGACGCGCATGGCATGCGGGCGCACACCGAGTCTCTGTCACTGCGCTGTGTCGCCGCGCCCTCAGCTCTTGGAATGACCCCTCGTTCCTGCAGGCCGGTGTGCCTCTGGGACAGGCGTCCAGTCATGTTGTTGTCTCAACAGATACTACCTACTGGCTGGGGGGCCATGTGTTGCTGGCATACAGCTGCGGGCCTATGGAAGGGTGCCTAGCTGCATTGGCATATCAATTGCCTAGAGCTGTTGGCAGTGTTCCTCGCTCTCCACCACTTTTTTTCCGGTGCTGGAGCAGCAACACGTGCTGGTCAGGATGGACAGTACGGCAGCGGCAGCGTATATCAACCGTATGGGGGGTATGTGCTCTTGCCGCATGTCTCAGCTTGCCCGCCGTCTGCTCCACTATAGTCACCCGCGGCTAAAATTGCTGCACGCCATTCATATCCCAGGTATGCTCAACCGTGCAGCCGATGTGCTCTCACGGTGACAAATTCACTCTGGAGAATGGAGACTCCACCCCGAGTCTGTCTAGCTGATATGGGTGTGATTCGGGGAGGCCTAGATCGATCTGTTGCTTCCCCCGAGAGCGCTCATTGGCAGTTGTTCCTTTCCCTGACCAAGGACTCTCTCGGCACGGATGCACTGGCCCACAGCTGGCCTCGGGGCATGCTCAAGTGTGTGTTCCCCCAGTGAGCCTACTCGCGCAGTTACTGTGCAAGGTCAGGGAAGACGAGGAACAGGTTCTGCTAGTTGCGCCCCTTTGGCCCAACCGGACCTGGATATCAGAGCTCTCCCTCCTCGCGACGGCCCTCCCCTGGCGGATCCCTTTGAGAGAGGACCTACTCTCTCAGGGACAGGGCACCATCTGGCACCCTCGCCCCAATCTCTGGAACCTCCACGTGTGGTCCCTAGACGCGAGGAAGACTTGGGTAACCTACCGTATGTGGTGGTTGATACCATCACTCAGGCTAGAGCCCCCTCCACGAGGCGTGCCTACGCCCTGAAGTGGAGTCTATTCACTGAATGGTGTGTCTCTCGCGAGAAGACCCCCGAACTTGCCAGATCAGTGTTGTGCTCTCTTTCCTTCAAGAGAAGTTGGAGAGCAGGCTGTCACCCTCCACGCTCAAGCTGTGCGTGGCCGCCATCTCCGCTCATCATGATGCGTGGGACCATGGGAAAGCATAACCTTATCATCCGGTTCCTCAGAGGTGCTAGGCGAATTAATCCAACTCGCCCCCCTCTCATGCCCTTTTTGGATCTCGCCCTCGTTCTCACGAGCTTGCGCACAGATCCCTTCGAGCCACTTGAATCAGTATCCTTAAGATTTCTGTCCCTGATGACAGCTCTGCTGGTCGCGTAGGCCTCTATTAAGAGGGTCAGGGACCTGGAGGCATTTTCGGTCAGTGACTCGTGTCTGGAATTCGGGCCGGATTATTCTCACGTTATCCTGAGACCCCGCCCGGGTTATGTGCCCAAAGTTCTTACCACTCCCTTTAGAGATCAGGTAGTAAACCTGCAAGCGCTGCCCCCGGAGGAGGCAGACCCAGCCCTTTCCTTACTTTCTCCAGTTTGCGCTCTGTGCATTTATGTGGACCGTACTCAGTAATTTAGATCATCTGAGCAGCTCTTTGTCTGTTATGGCGGTCGGCAGCAGGGAAGTGCCGTATCGAAACAAAGATTATCCCACTGGATTGTGGTGGCCATTTCATTTGCTTATTTGAGCAGAGGTGAGCCGTGTCCCCCGGGAGTGCGTGCACACTCCACTCGGAGCGTTGCATCCTCATTGGCGCGTGCATGCGGCACCTCTCTAACAGACATCTGTAGAGCTGCGGGCTGGGCGACACCCAACACATTTGCTAGGTTTTACAATCTGCGAGTGGAACCGGTTTTTCTCAAGGGTATTAGGTAACCCTTTTGCGATTGAGGAAACAACTCGTTAGGGTGTTGTAACACGCTTGCGGTGCCATTTTTCCCTAACACGGAGAGATGCGCATACCTTCTTATCTGTCAGTAAGTTCCCTGTCAGGTGAGCCCTGCAGATTCCTCCATGGCCCCCAGCACTGACTCAGCGGAGGAGTCACTTGCTGGCCCCCTACGTTGTAGGTCTGCCCGTTGGTCAGCCCGCGTTTTGGGTATAGGTGTCTGCTATGCGTGATCCCAACTAGGCGATCCCATATGCCTATTCCATCACGTTTCAGTCCCCCCTCTTGGGTGGACCCGTGTCTTCCTTATCCGCTAACCACCTTCTTATGCGCTCTCCCCCTTCTTAGGGCTAGTCCATATGTATTTCTATCTATCTCCCCCATTGGGTGCGGATGGTCTCCGCAGCATCCTCCCTATCAGGATTGCACGCTTCCCAATGTACTGTCGTAATTCCTAGAATTATCTAGACGCTAGTGACTCCCAAAAAATATAGCCAATCCGTAAAACTTCCTTTGAAGTGGAATAAATTAGGGCCAGAGACATGTTGGAGGACCGCGCCTCCGATGAGGAGGGTGTGTCACGCATCCTCTCATCGGAGGAGTTGGTAAGGTGCAGTCAT